TACCTTTTAAAATCGCATTCTACGAATTTTGGTAGGTGGCAGTGTTTCCACTTTCATGGAAATTCAGGAATGTTATGTTTGAATATATAAATGCGAAAAGTGTTGAATATAAATGCGAAAAGTGTGTCTGGGAACTTAAATTCCCAGATGCAACAAATCCGAAACCAGTCTCCGCGAATGCGTTGCACGGTTAACCGAAGGCTGTTAAAGACTTTAATAACATCGCTAGCACTCATTTACATGGCCTATCAGAGAAATTCGGCAGCCCGGGGTAAATTTTAATTTTGGGGGCCCTATTTTCCCCAAAAATATTGGTAAGCGGGGGTGGGGGTGGTTAACAATTTTTTTTCGGACAAACAGCAGTTAAATTAGGGTTAATTCCTGTTAAAACCTGGGTAAAACCCTTTTTTACCAACATCTGTAAAATTTAGGTCTAGAAATTTTTTCTCATACCATTATATATTTATATAAAAAAACGTTCCAAATTATTTTTTGTAATTTTGCAAATTTTGAGGCTCCCTTTGCCCCGGGCAAATTACGCCCTATGCCCCCTTCTCTGAAAGGCCCTGCTCATTTACTCATTTTTTAACCAATATAACTCACTTTTTAGACAATACTGACATCACTAGCACTCATTTGAACTTTAGAGGACTTCATTTAAGTAGGCTATGGGTGCCGTTAATGCAATTCGACAAAGAAATTTTAAAGAATTTTCTAATGTGATATTTTTAATTGACTGCATAACTCGATACCGTTCGAGGTACTGTAGCTACTACAGTCTATCATGATCAAACAAGTGATGTTATCAGTGAATCTAATTACTTTCTACCTAATATGCGAGCAGTGGCATAATGGATAGGCCTTCTACAGATTATGCTCGGCAAGTTTTTGGCAACTTTTTGCATTTGGAGCAACTTTTTATGATATCAGCAACTTCAAGCAACTTTCTCCTGAAAATGCATAATTTTTGGAAATTTCTGGCAATATAGACCATGTTGCTAATTTTAATTATAGAAAGATAAAGAAATGCTTGATAGCCTTGATCCATATTCTCTTCAAGCTCTTTTTCTTGGTCATATGAAAGAATAGCACGACAAGGCCCCAAAATATTTTCCTTACCCTTGGCCATTTGACAAACTTTTTAGCTTACCATTACCGTTCTGTAGTTTGGGAGATCCTATGGCACTCCACAGCTTGACATATTAATATTTGCAAACATCTATAACAACCCCCATAAGTTAACTGCAAGTTACATTAATGCTTAGACATAATAATAGTCAGAGGAAGTAAAACGTACTGTGATCACATGAAACATCTCAAACTGATTTGATAGCTTTTTAGCTTTTAAGTTGTTATAAAACTTTATAGTTTTGAACTATAGTTATAGTTATGAACTGTTATTATTGTATTTATATCTATAGTGTTTAATATACAGTCATATCTTGCTTTGCACCAACTCGTTACGAGAAACTTTTAACATTTTAATAAATTTGAAAATGGTCTCCCTTGTAGAATCAAACACTATTTAATTGCTATTTAATCCCTATTTTATTGGGCTATTTAATTCCTATTTGTCAAAGTATTTATCTCCTATTTTTACTATCATTTTTTCTCGAGGTTTTTCCTATTTAAATTAGGGTTTTCCTATTCATGATATATTTCTAAACAAATACTTAATTGATGTACTCGAATAGAAATTAAATAGGTTTCAAATATAATAAAAATAGGGCTATTTAAGGAAATTATTATTATTAAAAATATATAGTTTTGACATAGTTAATTGCTGACGCAGCGAGCGAGCCTGAAGCGAGCGAGCAAGTCAGCAGTTCTAATTCGTATTGGGCTCTGAAAGTATGATTTTACTTCCGTTTCTCCGACCAGAATGCACTGCTGTTAACCGACCAGAATGCATTGCTGTTAGCCGACCAGAATGCTTTGCATGCATGATGCTATAAATACGGGGAATCTCATTAGTCAGTTAATATAAGCCGGTAACGATGCAGTTCTTTTGGTGTATTTTGTTTTTCATTGTATGCCTGGTCTGTTGATTTCTGGCTGGTCTTACACTATATATACTGAATTTGTTTATTACAAACAATTTATAACGCTTCAAAAGCGAATTTATGCGTTTGTGCTCTTCGCCTTATTTTCTTTTGTCTTTTCTTATTTCATGTAGCACTTAGCAGTAAAATCAACATTGTATTTGCACGTCTGAAAGCGTTCATTTCAAGCATTAAAAGCGAATCAATTATTGTCAATCAGTTTCACTTTGCTATAATTTAAACAGGGTTTAGGTTGTAGACCTTTTATTACCTCGGGTCGGTACGACACCGAGGTCTTAAATTCGGCTCCTATTTTTTTTTTCTTGTTTTTTTTTTCCATTTGTGTCGAGCCGCGCGCGTAGTCGAAGATCGAAGGGCCTGCGGAGGAGACGACAACTTCCGGTAAATAAGTGTACTTCCGGCAAGCATCGGCCAAAGCGAAACGGAACCCGAAGCTGTCCTTGCACAAAATCGTCAGAATTGTTGATTTAAAACCAGAAGATGTGATAATTTTGACATACATGTTTAGCTGGACAACTATTCTCGAGTATATGTTGATATAATGCACAATACTTCGTATGCATAGCATGGGAATACCGCGGCCAACTTTCACTTGTTATCTATTATAATTACTGACCCGAATCAAAAGTAATTATTTTCGGCTGGAAGACTACTGTGCGTTGCTGCTTGTCGGGACCGTATGACAATGAACCTATCCAACGTTACACTAGACATTTGTGAGGACATGCATATAGACATAACCATAGGCACTGTAGTGCATTGTGATAGAACAAATTTCAGCTTAATTAATTGCCTTAAATTAAAATCTCCACAAGCGGAGGTCAATTATAGTGTTCTAGTTTACATATTATCATTAATGATAAGGTTTACTCAAATAGCGTATTGGATAAACACGGGAATAAAACTTATGGTGTATTCTGCACATGCGTATATCTAGGATAAAATCCCACAAGCGCAAACGAAACTATTTCTCTATAAAATTGAACTGAAAAGACTCATAGCAACCGTTCCAACAGTGCTTCAGGCACCCGACGACACCGTATGGGGGGCCTTTAGCACTGTCACCTTCTCATCTTGGGATGTTCACGTTATCGCGTGTACATGTCAGGGTGACGAAGATGCATTATTGCTAATAATGTCTGTGTGCACTGATGCACGCTGCATTATTTTTAATAATGTCGTGTGCTATTTTAACGCGTACATAGAATATGACGCATATAAACATTTACCCCTGAGCCGGAATTTCCCTATACAACCAAAAAGGCCGCTCCCGTTTTTCATTAGTTAACATGCACAACTGAACGAAAGCGTACGAATAGCCTCATTAACTGAACGACCAACGCGCTTAAACTCGCTTGCTTATTGGTCGAGACCAAAAATTATAAATTTTCGTCAGCTAAACGTATACGATCATCACATGACGTTCCAAAACAAACGTACGTATGTGTCGAAACTCTTAAAACCAGGCTTGCTGGTTGGTCGAGACAGTATATTATGAATTTTCGTCTAGTGAGTAAACTAATATATTCTAATCGTCAAGACTATAATTTGAATGTCTGCCATGAAAAAACAAGAGTGTGTAAACACAATTGAATTGAATTTTTAATTACCAGTTATTAACAACAATAGGATAATTTCTATACTGTAGTATCATTTTTTGTTGGGACATCCACACATAAGTTACATAACTAATTAATGTCAATTCGTCAACCGAAGACTGGCCTCATAATAATTTGTTTACACAAATCAAAAGTACGTGGCGCATAATTAGGTAAGCCTGAGCAACTTGAAGTGTCCTTTCACAATGCAACTATATTTACAGAGAGGAAAGTTAGCTCTCTTTAACTTTGGGTTATTAGATTGGGCGCATATTTGTACCAGGAATAATAGTACAGACTGGCGTTTAAAATGCATGGTTAATTCACTCAGTAAAGCTAGGGATCGGAAAGTATAAGGATAGTGAATCTGTCTTCTATTTCCTCTCCTCGTTTGCGAGTAAACTGTTGGGGGTACATCACGTACAATCTGTAGAAAGGATTCGACACTTTCCCCCGTTAAATTCCAAAACAGAAATTGCTCTCTTTCATTGAAAAAGTCGCGACCATTGCATGAACGCCGAACCGAACACACAAGATTGGGAAACAATACTCCTTCCATACGTGCCCGTGCCGATGTTTGTTTGGGGGCCGCGGGCATGCTGTTATCAGGAATAATAATTTGCAGAAACTTTCAAAGTTTTCAAGTAATGACTCGCTGTTAACAGTGCATGGTTTATTTCGTTATTTAACCTGCTATATCTTTTCAATGCCTCTACAGCACAAGTATATGCACGGAGAATAAAATGTTACACAAAATTGCTAAACACTGCAGAGCGGTTGCAATCACATGTAAATCGTCTACCATGGCTACGGTTGAAATGATTTAAAAAACACGTGTATTTGCATAAATAGTCGAGTAAATACAATACCAATCTAAAATGTTGTGTTTTGTGATCAGTGTTTATGCCTCATTCTTTAGAAGGATAAGTAAGATAATTTCTATAGTTCATTGTCTTTTATTGTTATGATCAACCAATCACAAAGCCATGTTCATATAGGTTGGTGGCGACCCAATGTACATTATTAACATAACTGATCAGAATATTCGTTCGCTAACGTCGAGTTGTGCATGTTAACTACTAGAACGTTAAATGAAAACTTCTCAACATTCGCTGATATAATGCAGAGAGAAAACAATAGGTTTGATGAGGGCCAGTAATTATTATCAATAAAGTATTAAAACGGAGCTTTGATTAACTGATTCACCATTTATACTAGTGAACTATTAAGGTGGCTCCATACCCTTCTCAAGCAAAAAGGACTAAATACGAGAATGAAAAATCGCGCGAGATTTAAACCTCTCGTAAAAAGCGCGCGTGCCTGAAATATGTAAATAAATATGGCTTCACTTTTTCGTTTGCTTAGCCGAGCAACTACAAAACTTCAAGCAGTTTTTAAAAAACAATACATTTTTAATAAACACAATACTTATCTGCAAGAATTTGTGTACAAAGGTAATTTTCCCGTGGAAAAGCTTGGTCGGAATTGCTTATCAGTCGAATTAACTCACGAAAGAGATCGGTGCAAGAAACCACGGCAAAATCTGTCGCTTTTCGGTCTACTTACAGCTGGAGTGTTTTCACTAGCGCTTACCAACCACACTGTAGAGGCAGGGAAAAATGATGAAACACCTGAGGCTAAAAACTGTACAGCTTCCTTCAGAAAAAAAGGTAAATTTTCGACGAAGGAAAGTACACAAACACGAACCGAAAAATTACAAAAAATGAACGCTGGTCTAGCAAAACGAAAACTATGCTTTGAGAATTTGGACGACAGCACAGAGGAACAGGATATATGTAAAAAGAAAAGGATGACACGTAGTATGGAGGTGAAAATTTATACAGTAAATTACTAAATTAATATTTTAATATGCTTTGATGCTACTCTGAGTGTGTATCCACACCGGGCAGGCTTGAAAAATATGCCTGGCCACGGTGGGAATTTTTCAAGGCCATTTTGAAGGCCTGGCAAGGGAATTTTGCCAGGCATATTTTTCAAGCCTGCCCGGTGTGGATACACACTCAGAGTAACATCAAAGCATCGTATTCACCTGAGTACACTACACCAACACAACAAATATCATAATATTTTAATGTTCATGCATGCCATCAGGCATCATCCACATGTCTGCTAAGATGACTAAATTATACTTACAGCTACTAGTATAATAAAAAATAATGACCAAGTTATCATTTATAGAAACATGCAAAAAGCATAGAAATCCTGAGTGGCTGCAGAATTGTGGATTTGGACATCCTTCATAACACACTTTCATCATGCAAGCACTGTTTAAGAGGTGTGTTTGAATTATATGAGTTTCATAACATAACATTTCCACATGAATAACATAACAATTTGACTCAACCAATGTTTTTCATTACCGCATGTGTAGGTCCTTTATCACTTGACAATGTTATGCAGGAAAAAAGAATTGGTCTAGCAAGTTGCCTATATGTAGAATGTCATTACTGTGGAAGGCCAAACATAATCAGCACTTCAGATAAACACCGCACAGGAAAGCATGGTCCATTAACATATGATATAAATTCTCGGGTAGCACTTGGTGCACTGCATGTTGGAATAGGTCAAACACATGTTAACAATTTCCTCACATCCATAAATATTCCACCTTTGAACAATGTCACATTCAAAAAGAGAGAACGGGAAGTTGGGCATGCTATTGAATCACTTGCTTCAACCAGCTGTAAAGAAAATCTACAAAAAGAAAAAGAAAATGCAATTTCAAATAACATACAGGCAGATAGCAATGGGCTGATTGGGTTCCCAGTGTCATATGACATGGGTTGGCAAAAACGGGGAAAGGGGCACAATTCTCTGACAGGACAAGGCGCAGCCATGGGACTGACAACAGGGAATGTCCTAGCATATTCAACAAGGTGTAAACAATGTAGAATTTGTGATCATGCAAAGAAGGAGAGAAAATCAGTAACACCACAACACACTGGGTCATCTAAGTCAATGGAATCAAGTGTTGCCTGTGAGCTTTGGAATGATGCACCAAAAGACCATGTGAAGTTCTCAACCTATGTTGGTGATGATGACACAACAACACTGTCGCATCTCACTGAAAATGTTCCCTATGGGGTGGAAAAATGGTCAGACATAATACATGCAAAAAGATCACTTGCAACTAGGCTGTACAATCTTTCATCTAGCAGCAAATTCCAAGACTCCTCTGTTTTAAGTCAAAAAGTAATTAACTATTTGACAAAGTGTTTTTCATACTGCATTGCACAAAACTCCAATGCAGCTAATTTGAAATTGGCACTAAAATGCATTGTGCCTCATGCTTTTAGTGAGCATCAACTTTGCAATGACTCTTGGTGTGGTTACAAGAAAGACCCGTCAACATACAAACACCACAGTCTTCCAAATGGTAAAGATTTACATGGTGC